TTGGTGCAGACAGTAGCCAGGGAGGTACTGACAAAAGCAGCCAGAGTTTGAGGGGAGGAAAATTTACCTTGTCATCTCAATAAGTGCCAGTATTTCCCTGAATTGCAACCTTTGATTTTTTTTTTTTTGGACACAGTAACAAGACCAGTATGCCAACTGTGTCAGACTACCTGGCAACTTGGTGACAATTTGAAATGAGAACTCTCCTGTAATAGAACTGAGGGTTGGTTTTTTTAGTTGTCATCTGTGTGACTGGTAGCAAGGCATCCTCAAACTGGAAATATACCTCAATGGTTTAGTCAAAAGCCATGTAAAAATTGGTTGTCATCACTGCTAATAACCCAGGCCTCAACAGGTGTGGGAATTTTTTTGTTTTGTCTATTCTTACAACTTATGATGGGAAGAAATAATTTAGTGGGATAGACCAGTGGTTGGCAGTTGTCTCCACAACTGGATTCTGCAGCTTTGAGGGAATTCATACTAGTTTGCCATAAAGAAGCTAATTCTTGGGGTTCACTCAAACCTTCCTACATGCACAAAGTGGAATTTCAGACTGGTAGCCAAGACAACTGTCTAGAAATCCCATTCTCACTTAGCACGTGCCAGTTCTACTGTGAAATTTAATACATCAAATGTTTGCATATTCTCAGAGTAATTTGCTAGGCAAATGCATTTCAGTACTGACACACAGTCTGTAAAATTGGGATAGGATTTCTGATTATTTTTAATTTTGTTGGTTTGTTTCTTAAATAATGGCATTATCATTTTTTAAATACTGTGAACATAAATGCAGCTGTTCTGACTTTTTGTTGAAGGGCAAACCAGTAGTGATGGCAGCTATAATCTTACAGGACCATATTGAATTCTCTAGACCAAAAAGTACATTGAATGTGTAAAGAAAAGTCTAATCTGTCTTTTCCACCCCACACTCAACTTTTTCATGGACATGTAAATACTATGAATTATTTGAATATTTGTGTTGAGAATCAGACATTTTGAACCACACAAGGGCACACCTTGGTACAAGACTTATCACTTGACGGACAAAATATGTAAGAGGAAGGAAATGAGCAAAATCTGTCTAGCTAAGGACAGCTGCCCTATAGGACACTTGTAAGAACTTTATTTCTCACTCTGATGTGTTACAAATTCTTTTACTCCTGCTTGGAGTAAAAGAAACTCTTAGGTGGTCCAGTCCATTGTCTGTCCTATTAAGATAGTTTGTTTCCATTCTTGGAAGAGTGTTAAACTTGAGGGAGCAGATGTGCCCAGTGCACTAAAAAATGCAAATATGGGGAGAAAGATGATGTTACTCTGCTTCGTAAATGTGCTGTGATGTTAGAATTGTCAGTGACTAGGTACCTTTCTAAAATGAAAGGGGGGGGGGGGGAAGGGGTATGGAGTAAAACTTATTTAGCTACAATTAAACTTGTTTAATAATAGGACTTCCATTGTAATGGTAAAAATCTTTGTGCCTACTGGAATTGGTTTTTCTTATTTAAAGAAACTCTTACAACACTGCTGAGGTGAGTAAGCTGCACCCTCAAACTGTCTGAAGGCATCACAGTTGAGAGAGTACCTTGCACTGGGCTAGTTCCCCTTCTTAACTGCAGGCTGAGTTTGCTTTGAATTATACAAGGCCTAGGCTAGCCTTAAATAGGTGTGTCTGAGAAGCAATACAAATTAGGAATGAAATGCTTTAAATGTGTACAAGTTTGAATTAGGAAATGCTCAGATTAATAAGTGAACACTAATTATTTTAATATATGCACAATCAACAGTCAGTGTAAATTGATTCCTTGAAAACATAAAGGTTTGAGAATACATCTTAGGTCCCCAAGGTTGATATTGTATTTTTTGTCTGTTGTGCAATAATACTGTTTAAATGGTATCACTCCACAACAATGCTTTTGATACTTGAAAAGAAATTACTGGTTATTTTTTCTTACTGTGAAATATTTGCACTGTCTGAACTTTCTGGTTAACTTTATAATTGTTAAAGTTTTTTACTGGTGTTAATTTATTGTGCTTGGTATTTGATACGTTAGTCTCTTGTCTGTGTAAGTGTGAAATTTGTCATATTTAATTGAATATTTTTATCTTCTACGCAGTTGTTTATCTTGAGGGCTTTAGTCTTTTATTCTCTCTTCCTGAGAATTAACGGAAGGATGGCTTAAAAAGTTGATGCTTATCTACTTCTGAATTGTATACATTAATTAAAGAAAGAGGCTGTAGTGCGTTGTACCTACAGGGAAGAGCCTCTCTGCCTCTCAGAGCTCTTGTGGTCAGATTCACCAGTACTTGCTGAGTAGCTGCATCAGTGAACCCAGTGAAGTAAAAAGATTACTGCCTTAAGAATCTGAGATTTCAGTTGTAATTTCTTTGATGTGCAGCACTTCACCTGGCTGTCAGCTGCAGAATGAGACGTGACTCTGGGGAGTCAGGGCGGGGGGGAAGGTACTTTAGCTGGCAGAATCCAACATGCTGTATCCCAGCGGTGTGTTAGCAGCTGTAGCCATGTTGGAACTGCCAAGAAATGTGTCAAGCTCCATTTAAAGTGAGAATGAATTGGTGACTGTCAAAAAGAATATTTGAGTAAAACTGACTACCTCAGTTCTGTTTGAGTTAAGCTTCTAGCCTGCTGTGAACTTCCAAATCTTCAGATGAATTAACTAAAAACATGTCTCGGGTTTTTAAGAGCAAAATAAATACAGTAGGAAGCATAAGCCATTTTTTAGTGTAGAACACAGCTAAAGCTGTAGCTTAAACCAATCAGCTACATAGCCTTAAGTGTAGTTTCCTCCGTAAAAGTTGGTATTAGTTTTAAATAAACACAAACTTTGCAGGCAGCTACTTTAGGTGTCCTGACCATACTGGGGGCAAGTCCATACTCTTGCATCCCTTACATGTGACAACTTGGAAATACAGCCCAGATACGCCTTTGCATTTTGACCACAGTAGATAGGGCAGCAGGAGGCCTGGGAATAGTGCTGAGAGATAAATGAGTTGGCTTGTCTGTAGCAGAAGCATTTTCAGTATAGAATGTCCACAGTTATGGAAGTAAATCAGTCTTTTTTTTGCGGGCTCTTTTTCTTTTTTTTACCCTAGTAGCTCAAATCTATAGCACTTTAATTAGACATTGAGGCAAGTCATACTTTAGGAACACATTTTTCACTTACAAGGAGGAAGGGTAGCTTTTGGCTGGAATATGCAGCAAGTAAAATTGCATTGAAATGTGTTGAGGTCTTGGGAGACTGTCACACAGCCTTGGATGTAGGTTAATTACCAAAAGAGAATTTTGACCCCCATTAATTGACTCTCAGTCCAATGCTGCTCATTCTTTCTGCTGGGCACTAGTAAATTAGGAAGACTGATGTCACTTAAGACCAGACATATCCACAATCCCCTTACAAGGGCCAGTTGTTTTTAAATCTTCCTGTCCTGCAAGGCTTTCTGCTTACATACATTTCAGTAGAGGGAGGCATCTGTTCTTGCTTCCCCGCATTTCCTATGAGTGACTTTCAGCCAGCTGAGCAGGTCCAGGTCTTTTCCCCCTTGCAAGATCTAACGAGCGGCTTTTGCTTGGCTGAATGCGTGGGTGCCTGCTTGCACCTATCGCTCTTCAGGATTTGGGTCTAGTTGTAGATTAAATAATGTGATTTTTACACTACCAGACTTCCGAAGTGCAAATGTTGCCTTTTTAATGTGAAGCTTACCTTGGAGATAAAACAAGTTTCAAGAGAACTGGCTGACCTTGAACGTGTGTTTCCTATTTTGGTACAGAATGTAAATATAGAACAAACTATTTTACATAGATTTTGACTGGATTGAGATATAAGGGCTAATTTTTGTTATTTATGGAGTAAAAATTTCTTTATTTTACTGTGTTTAAAAAAAAGTCATACAAAAGAAGAAATAAATTGTTCATCAATAAAACATCTGTAGAAAACTGACTCTTCTTGTCCTTTTCTTTGGGACCTGACAATTATTAACCACAAGAATAAGTGCAATAAAGGACCACCATTACAACAGTCATTTATTTTGTGAGAATTTTGAAAAATGAAATTACATCAAGTCTACATATTGATCACTTTATTAAACTGTTATTTGATACACTTTGAATGTAAAATGTTCCATGTTATAATCTCATACATGACTTATCAGAAGTTCAGCCTGATGGTGAAGTAAGGAGGTTCCCAAATTCTCTATCCTTGTGTATTTGATACTTAAAATTATGCAATACTTAAGTTTCTTTTTTTTTCCAGTTGAAATGGAAGATCATAATTCCTTCCTTTGTGTAAAGGATTTGGCCACATGATTCCCATTTCAGCGGAAGGAATGTTGGTATTGCCCTGCGGAGCCCCGAGCCCTGGGCTGTGACCAGACTTGGTGCTGGAAGGGCTGAGCCACCTTCACTGCTCTGCAGCAGGGATCAGCGATGCTGCAGCCACTCTTTTTGGTACCCGAGCCAGCTTTGCTAGCTGTGAGACTGACACCTTTACAATATATTTATAATTACAATACATTTTTTTATTTCAAATATATATTACTCTGATAATTGTGAAAGACATAACAACATTCCTCTAAAATGCAGAGTGGAGACTATTTTACAATCTAGCTTTTTGTCTGTCGTAT